AGGAAAGACAGTGTCTAGCAGGATTCTTCATGATTTAAAGCTGTTTTAGAGCATGTTTGTCGAGGTTTCTAACTTCTTTGTGTATCCACAGTCAACCTGTGTTGCTTGGTTACACAACACAAGTCACGTCAAATGACAATTCTAAAGCATAAAAGTCGTAGAAAGAAGAAAATTATGTAAAAAAGTTATATCGTTGCTCAGCGTTGATCGAAAAATAGAATATTTATTCTCATTTTGTAGTTCGATCATTCTTAAACGAAATTTTTCTGACTATTATGACTTTCCCGCTTTCTCTTCGGGTCATGATAGTCACAGAGAAAGTTTTATCCAGTTTCGATTTCTTTCTACTTTTAATTTGCATGAATTTCAGCTTTAAAGCCAAAATATAAGAAGATAAAGAATAATGAGTAAGTGGGAAGTAATGATATAATGGATAAGTAAATAATTATCTGATTTTGAATTTCACATGATACTCTTTATTTTTATTGCATAAAAAGTGAGTTCTGGTGCAGAAAATACAGAATTACAGGCAGAATTCCGAGTTTTTCGCTCCTGGTTTAGAAAAAATGTATTCTCTCAGCAATAAAGGAAAATAAAAGAAACGGCGATCCGTACTTTTAAAGCCCGTTTAATGGCGGTTCTAATGAGTATAAAGAAATCATAAAGAAAGACCACTCCTCTGCTGAGTTATAGTTAAAACAAAAAAGAGTTTGGACCATACGGAAAATTTTGCGGTAGTAGGTAATTTGGAGCACGTTACCATTCCTTTACAATCTTTGCGTAAGCTATAATCAGACTCTTGTTAGGAACGAGATTTCACTTCGCATCGTAGTTCCTTTTGTACTTCAAACAAGGCGAAATTTTATAGCATTTTAAAGCAACATAAACGTTGTTGCTTTTAGATCAAACTTCAATCTGTCTATCCAGCATTCGTAAGAACGGATTACTCGAGAAGAACAAAACAAGCATGGAAACTTGCTTTATGCAAAATGTCATATTGTTTCCGTTTGTTTGCTCCGCACGACTATACAGAGTAACGTCATTCTTGAAAATCACACACAGACTGGGCGAGCTCGGATACAGCTGAAGTGTACCAAATCAATCATAGTTGTTATTCAATATATGGATGGTACACAGTGAATATTATTGATTTTACTCCGATCACAAAGAAAAATACACAAATCCATGATATTCTGACAAACAATTAATCTAAAGTCGTGAATATAAACAGTTGTGCCTGCATGTAGTATTGAAAAAGAAATCTTTTTCTTGTTTGATGTAAAAATAAACTTCTCGCTATTCACTTCTCTTACGCCAAGTTACAACTTATAAGTTTTTACAAGTTAACTTTTCTTTTAAAAGGTAATCACGATTATTTTCATGGGCTTCTTTTTCCTTCATAAAACCGAAGTGTATATGATAGATTGTATATTTTGACCATTTGAACACATTCTAAGATCGAAATTAAATCTCTGCTGAAAGTTTCAATAGGTTTGAAAGAGTATCTCGTAAGATATTGAATTTTGATGTTCTGTCTATTAAAGGCCCAAACTAGGGAAACTCGAAAATCCAATTTCTCAAGAACTATAAGACCTATTGGCCCGAAATTTTTAGGAAAGCCTTAGCATAATACTGCTCCATTTATGACAAAGTTTCAGCCGAAAAAGAGTCGCTTTGGCTGAATTCTGAACTTTTTGATCTTAGGGGTTTTGGGCTTGAAAAACCAGAAAAATCGCTCTATCTGAGGAAGGAAGCGACAATGGCACGAACCCTCTTAGACTTTTTCCTACCTCAATATAGTCTATCGTGTGCATATGATTAAAAAAAATCGGAGGTTATCACTTGGGAATGTTCCCTCGTGAGATTTTCACCAAAAAATGAAAATCAACGAAAAGTTCCGAAACATATACCATTCGACTCAGTTTTTGGCGCTGACGCCGAATGTGTGTTATGATCTGCCATTCCTGGCAGCTCATAAGACTGTGTTTTCTTCTTTTCCTTTCTTTCTGTTATTGCGCAATTATGTTATTGCGCAACTCTTGCTTCACAATGGGATTTTCCTAAACTATTTCTGTTCTTACGCAACTCCTGCGCAACTCTTGCATAACTGTTGTTCAACTTGTGCACTATATATAGCCGTTCATTTTCTTAAATAAAGATGAGAAGTGAGTGAGTAGAACCTCACAATTGGTGCACTAGCCGGCCGGTCGTCTTTTCCATCACGATGCGGTGCGGTTCGGGTGATGAAAGATTTATTTGGCTCAGAAGTTTGTCCTCGTCTTCTGATCATCGTCGATCGTCGACCAGGCAAATCACAAGACAATGAAGAAAGAAACGGCACAATGGCGTGCTGCGTCGTATGTTTACTCAAGGGATGGTAACTCTCCTCTTCGAGCAATTTGGCGATTGGCCTTTGGTGGTGGCAACCAAGAGGCTTCAAATGAATGACTTTGCCTCGACCAACTACACCGTCGACATTTAGGCAAGTCAAAGCAATTTCGAGCGTGGCAACTCGAAGGCCAAACGAGCACTTAGCCTCGACGATCAAGCAGATTCGGCGACAAGGCGGCCTCGACGATCACGCAGATTCGGCGACAAGGCAGCCTCGACGATCAAGCAGATTCGGCGACAAGGGCAAGTCCTGCGTTCGGTGGCAAGTAGGGCTGTGTTGACATTCGCACAAGTCCAACGGAACGGTGGTGCGACCTCGAGCGGTGGCAGCTTGAGGCTCGAAATGGGAACTTCGCCTCGACGAGAAATATTTCGGCGACAAGGGCATTCCCAGTCCACGCGTTCGACAAGACGGGTGGCCAAGACAGGCTTCGATATCCAAGGATAAGAAGCTGACCATGTGTATATGTACTCTTTCCTCTCTTTTCGTTTGTTTTCATGTTTATGTTATCTTCTCTTGTTCCTGTTTTTTTGTGCATTTTCATTTTTTTTTTTTCACTCCGATGCGTTTGTTTGAAGGACAATAACTGTGCTTTTTCTTTATTTTTTCTCTCGTGTTAACTTCTTCGCCCTAGTTGTTGTACTAATGATTTTTTTTGCAGAAAATGCAGTGCAGAAAATACAGAATTACAGGCAGAATTCCGAGTTTTTCGCTCCTGGTTTAGACAAAATGTATTCGCTCAGCAATAAAGGAAAATAAAAGAAAAAGCGATCCGTACTTTTAAAGCCCGTTTAATGGCGGTTCTAATGAGTATAAAGAAATCATAAAGAAAATGATAAAAAGTTTAAAAACCTGCAAAAATGGGCATGCTTTGAATGGGGTACGTAACAAACAGACGAAAAAATGGGTCAACTTTTTTTCGTAAAATTTTAAATCAACCGTTTTCTTACGCAGTTTCTGATGCTCTTTCCACTGATATGTCTAAAAGGAAATTTCATCCATTCATTACCGAGATAGAGAGTTTACATGTTGACCATATAAAGTTTACCTTAAAATCGATCTGGTGGCCCGAGATCTTTTTTTACCAAAATGTTCGCTATCTTCTCCGCTTTCCGCTGGTATAGTTTTCAAAGCTTTAAACTTCCTTGACGGGTCAGAAAATCCATTACATAGTCGTACGGAAAATTTGTTCAGCTCTTCGGTACCGAAGAGAAAGTACCCGAGCATTGATGTCGACCTACAGACAAGAATAACCAATATTTTAAATTTTGCTTTTTCGACAAATATACTCGAAGGAATGGGCAACATTTTGGTGAAAACCGTTTGGCGAAAGACCACTCCTCTGCTGAGTTATAGTTAAAACAAAAAAGAGTTTGGACCATACGGAAAATTTTGCGGTAGTAGGTAATTTGGAGCACGTTACCATTCCTTTACAATCTTTGCGTAAGCTATAATCAGACTCTTGTTAGGAACGAGATTTCACTTCGCATCGTAGTTCCTTTTGTACTTCAAACAAGGCGAAATTTTATAGCATTTTAAAGCAACATAAACGTTGTTGCTTTTAGATCAAACTTCAATCTGTCTATCCAGCATTCGTAAGAACGGATTACTCGAGAAGAACAAAACAAGCATGGAAACTTGCTTTATGCAAAATGTCATATTGTTTCCGTTTGTTTGCTCCGCACGACTGCATTCTGTCAGTGAAAGAACGTGAGAAAAAAATAGACGGACGGCTTGTCCGCGGAACTGTCATTTCGTCACATTTTCTGCATTTTGTTTCTCTTACAGCTTTCGAACGAAGACACGCCCAGAGCTCTGCAACGTCTTAAGTTGCAGACAATGAATTTTTTCTATTAAACTGCTTTTTTTCTTCTCATGGGCATACAATGGGGCTTGCCCCGATTTACTCACATTTTATTGCTATGTTTAAATAAAAAAAAGAGTTTTTTTCGCACAGTACAATTTTCCAAAAAGTATTAGACTGGAGCAGGATTGACGTCGCGCCGAAGTACGTCACGAATAAACTGAGGAGTGAGGATTGTACGCACTCTGTCTTCGTCTCCATCAGTTCGGATCTCAGTTGTACCTTGCAATAATGATGGCAGCTGATTGACAACTATTTCTGCTTGAAAAAGTAAATCGTGATGCGCAATGGTGGCTCCGCGGATCAAATCAGGGCTTTCAAATGTGGTGTGCGGAGACGTCGGTTGAAGAAACACACTGCAAATTGTTTGAGCCACGTTTCGACAGAGATAATTGAGAGTCGCTTCCAACTCCTGCTGGGATGCGTCGCTAGCCAATGCAGCCCGGAAGTCTGGCATCACATATCTGCTGACTAAATTAACTACCTGTCGTAATGTGTCGGTATTGTTTCTCAACAAATTGCGAACATAACTGTTCAATCTTGCAGCAAGTCCTTCAGCTGTCACTAGACTTACAGCAACACCGAATAAGGCACCTATTCGTCCAACGACAGCAACAACTACGCGGATCCCTGGTACGTCAGCAGCAACGAGCGCATCAGAGAATAATGCTATTAGCAATTCATTGATGCTCATGGAACGAAGTACAGTTGTGACACTGGCTGATAACGGAATCAGTGCTCCTGAGACCTGTTCTCTAGCTGTAGAAGTGATCATCGTTGCAGCTGGATCATTTTTGACGATGCTTTCAATCACATCCGCATAGACACGAACTGTGCTAAAAATGCGATAAGCAAATTGATCCCAGTTGAAAATCTCATGTAAATTATTGGCTGGAGGACGAAGTTGAATCCAGTTTGCCACATATATTCGTGTATAGTAATAAGTTGGTTCCAGGCGATCAGATGGTTTTGCGATATTCAGGTGATGACTAGTGGGATAATAGTAATGAACTCGCGCTGGAATCTTACCTAGTGCAATTTGAGCTGCTAATTCTTTCGCTTCTATAATAAAGGTATCGGGTCCATTCATGCGAGCTTGTGCGTCTGAGACAATAATAGGCTGTACCAGCCAGTCGAACAGTCGTGGTGTTATAGTACCTTCAGAAAAATTAAGAAATGGAATATTACTGTTCAAAAAAAATTCATTTAAACTGTTCAAACGAGCAAGATTTCCAGCATTGGTACCAACGGAAGGAGCACAGTCTAGATAGAAAAGAGCTTTTGAGTTACGCATGCGGGTAACTTGACGTTGGGTAGTAGCCCATGATGCACCGTTATGTGGCGTTCCAAAAAACACAACACCCTTTGTTGAAGTAAATATATCTCTTCGTGTTTCATGTTCAGAAGCAAAATGCAGAACTTCTTTGACGATCAGTCCACCGAGGCTATGAGTTAGCCAAATAACTGGTTTCGAACCGACACCAGCATGAAATAGCAGTCGAACAAGATGTCTGGCGATAATAACTGGATCTGATTCATCATCGTCAGCAAAACTTCCAGCATGATGACTGACGCTAAGCATCCGAATTTTGTTCCGTCGAGGAAGTTGGCCAATTTTAAACTGATTCCGCACGCTTTCAATACCATGGTCCGAATCAAGAAGCCAGATAATTGGCCATAGACCCAAATCATTTGTCCAAGTACTCTCTGCATGTCCATCAAGACCGTGAATAAAAATAATATCAGCTTCGAAATTAACGGGATTCCAGCTTGAACGAAATGGCTGAAGCATTGGTTCAGGAAATCGATTATTAGCAGGATTTCCTACATGTTGAAAACGGCCTTGAACTGGAGTATTATGTCGTCGAAGTGCTGTCTCTACTGACTCAGGGCTCACCATATCTTTGTCTTGAAGTACACTTACAACGAGCGATTGATAGGCAAGCCGTGCGTCTGGTTCGGAGGAACACTTTTCGATAACGGTGATTTGACGTTCGGCTGGGTAGTAGTCACGAAGGACAATTCGATAACCACGTTGTAGAATATGATATTGTAATTTAAAGAGCGGATATACACTTCCGTCAGCATTTAGAACACATCGTGTCTCAATATCAGGATCACTTCTATCTTTCCAGAAACTAAGAAACCCAGGTAAATTCTCCCAGTGACCTACGTTCTCCCCATAAATGATCTCAAAACTTGAGGATCCTGATCCCATCTAAAACAACAGAGAGAGATGGAAGAAAAAAAAATCTTTTTTGGACCGCCTCCCCTCGATTATTTTTGCTTTTAGTAATATTCTATTTTTTAGAATTTAATCGTAATCTACATCGAATTTCACCCACAGATTTCAAATTTCACCTAAAAATGTGCACCCGTTCAGGACTTATAACGTTTTGAATTTTTGAACGTAATAACTCCTGAACGGATGCACATTTTTAGGTGAAATTTGAAATCTGTGGATGAAATTCGATGTAGATTACGATTAAATTCTAAAAAATAGAATATTACCAAAATCAAAAAGAAATTGTGCGGGGGAGCGGCCCAGAAAATTATTTTTTTTTCACAAACTCCGATCGGAAAATTTTGTTGATAAAAGCTCATGATTTGAGTTCAATATCACCCTCTATAAGTTTCATCGGGGTCCCATGCCCTGAAGCTGAGATCCAGAATTTTGGGGGTGTCGACTCTCCTTAACTCGAAGAGGTCACACCCTCCACTCGGGCCAGCCCTGCTCACTACTCGTTCCATGGTTATTGTGTTACTGCCCAGAATAGTCTGCAATCCCTCTTTGCTACGGTCTTCGACGAAGCAAGAGAGACAACCGAAGATTCGGTAAACTTCTAAGTTTTTCCTTCGAATCCACTAATGAATGCTAATTTCGATAATCGTGGTGAGGTTTGTTCTGCTCATTCATCAGGTGTCTACTTCACACCTTTTGATACTTCCTGAATTACATTTGATATGTGAAAATATCTAGATGCGCTTTTTGTCTACCCATCATGAATTCGTTTTACAGAAATTGAAATATTCTAAGGGATAAAAAAGTAGTCTTTCAAGAAAAAAACACGCATCTTACGAATGAAATGGATTTGTTATTGTTTATATTAGTGAAAATGAAGAATTCCCATATAATCTTGTTAAGAACAAAAAGTGCTATTAAAAAACGATTTTTACAAGGAACATCGATCATATATATGACTGAAAACAGGGTAAAAGCCTTACTATCACCCAGCTGAAAAGTACGGCACGAATACGACCTTGAAGCAGTAAAAAATGGCTTGTTAGTCAATGTGATGATTTAGGATCATATTTCAATCGGAATAAGACCGTGTACGGCCCACATACGATACGAATACGGCAAAAATACGGCGAGAATACGTTTGTAAATCATCGTCTCGGATTACGATAGAATACGGTAGAAACGCGGTCGTTTACGATGAAGTTAAAATGATCTACAGTGGCCCAGGTCGAAAACTTCGGCCAGAGACTGAAACGGGGAGGTTTTCTTGATTCGCGCCCCGCCCCACGCCAACATCAAATTTTTTAATGAAATGATGAAATCACAGGTTTCAGGTTGATTTAGCCATCGAGCAATAATATACCCTTTTCATATTCTGCTTTTTCTTGAGTCAAACTACATGGTGACGAAATCTTGTCTCATTAGTTTTAAAGAAAGTCTTCTTTATCGCAGTAAGCTTTCTTGCAAACGAGATGTCATATCCTGCATAGAAGATTTAGGCTTAAAAGACACTAGGTATAGAGGTGTGACACATTTTAGCGATTAAGGTACTCGACAAGTTCAATAATCTTTTAACCAAATCTATTTAAGGTCTTGTCTTCGTAATACCTAGTTAACACTGTTGTATTACTAGTTTGAATTACTCTGCGTTGCTTTGCAGAATATTCATCAGGGATAAAAGTTCAAACAGTGTTACGGTGAATGTCGGCCTCCAACATGTCATTTTGAGGTTGAGTAGAAGTCTGGCTTTCGATATACGATAAAACAAACGATTTTCAGAATAATTAGGTAAAATATATTGGCCATCAATTATGGAGATGTACAAGACCGGAATCCAAAGTGTTTACAATAGTTGAAAACTTCTGAGAATAATAGCCATTTTTGCTATAGGTTTTTGACAATTTTATCAAAAAACAAGTGACTAAAATCTTTTTTCTGAAATCGGGTTCAGAACATTTGTTGATTGAGAGCGAAAAGCCGTAATCTTGCTCATGACTAGAGGTATCGCATTAAACTTCGCATTAGCATTATAGTTTTACAACGTTATTATTTCAACACAGACGTTCTTTTTCTGTTTCAGGGCGAGAATGTCAGATCTATTTTCTATAGTTCTTGCTCATATTTACAGAAAAGAAAAAACGTTCTATTTTTTACTGTAACACGCCTCTTTCTGTGAATAAACAATTATTCTTATTTCACTACAAATTTGGTCATTAAAAGTGTGATTTATTATGTTTCAATATAGAAGAATATCATATGGAAAAAAAGATGCATACTTGCCACTTATGAATTTTATTGCGCTGGTAGAGAAGAGAATTTAGCTATACCACTTGAGAATAGCATGTATGTGACTAAGAGGAGATAATCCACACTGAAGTTTAAGCTGCAATAAGAGTCCGTAGAGAAACCCTGTTACATTCATTTTTGAAATCTCGCATGCCCCTACATTTGTTTAGTTTTTCATGCACTATATAATGATGTATTTGAAAGTATCTGTTGCTATGAAAACAACTGAGAAATTTTGATTTTAAAAAAAGCTGAATTTTCAGATTTTACAATTTCAATTTAATAGTAAGGAAAAAGACTTTTTGATAATTTTTCTTTTTAAAATGTCGCTGAAACATTTCTGTACAAGATACAGTTATTGAAAATATTTTCAACTTAGAAATAATATCAGGAAAGAATTTTATTAAAAAAGGAGCTTTCCTAAGGAGAAGTGTATTTTTTAAAGTTCAAGAACATTTTCTTCGAACCACTTGAAGCTCGCAAAATGACTGAGTACTCGAAAAATTCAAACGTCAGTCAAGTTTTTACTTTTTTAGCTTACATAGTATTTTTCCCTGATTCAGCATTAAAAAATTGGATTTAATGGTTGTGTTTTATTTATTCCGAAGTTAAAGGTCTGTTTATGACGTACGTTCTCATCCAGATCTCTAAAATTCGGACACGTCATTTTGCAAACTTGTCTAGTTATTTTTGTTAAGGCTTGGAACTGTCATTTGCATCCCACTGTATTCGCTGAGGTGTCAGCTTCAAAAACATAACTCGCTTTTATTTCAAAGTTTGTTTCGTTGCTGAGAAAATTCATTTTTTCTAAGTCAGAGGCGAAGAAGTCGGAATTCTGCCTGTAATATCAATTTTCGAATTCAGAACTTAACTTTGTTTTAGCACTCTTGGAGTTAGGTTCGGTGTATAACGAGCATTAGCGCAAAATCAACTTTTTATACGCAGAACAGAATCGGTTCAAATTTTTTTCTGAAGAGCTTATTATGTGAATCGCCGGACAGCAAAGTATCTGTTGATTCAAGTCACTTTTCGCATTTTGGCGCATTCGCGAAAGTAAAACTATTTGATTCTTTTCATGTATCTAGTCAAGGATTAGTTGTGTACATTTTCACAGTTTGGAGTCTTTCACAGTTTGTATATATTCAATTAGCGATTTGAATGTGAACCTGATTATTGAAATTCATTCTAAACAACTCACGGGATAGATTTGTTCTTTAAAAGGTCAACTGAAAACCTTACATAAAACAAGTTAAAAGTCAGTCATATACAGTTCGATGCGTCTTCATCCCCTCGTTCCAACGGTGAAAACTGCAGTTCTCTATCTTGTTTCTGTCAAATGTTATTCAAAAAATACTCACGAGCATACATGTTCATACTACCAGCATATATGCGAACGAAACAGATTTTCTGTTCTGCATATATAAGTTCATGTTCACTGCGACAAAGAGCAAATATGTTTTTTCTTCTCTCTTTTCTCACTTTCCGTACGATAAAACACGTTCTTATTTCTCTCATCGACATAAGAACATTTGGTCGAGTTTTATATTAAAAGTGCGAAAAGGTGCCTTTCAACCACATACTAATAATCCACCAGTATACGTAAAATTTCAAGCTCTATCCGAATTTGAATGTTTTACATTTCGAAAACGTGTATTTTGTCAGAAATATACGCGTTTCAAGAAAAACTTAATTCAGAAAAAAAAACGTTTTTTCACATAATTACCAAATTCTAAGTGTTAATTTTAGTCTCATTAGACAGAGCACCTAATATTACATAGGTTTTACCCGGCTTTCTCTTCAGGAACATGATGCTTTCTCTCTTGTGCCTGTCACTTCACAGGGAGTTCAACCGCCCGTTCCAACGGACAGCTTGAATGAGCGTTCGAACGTCCGCCCATACAATAGTTCCCGTTTCCCTTTTGTCCGTCACTTCGGAGGGGGTTCAATCACCTATTCCAAGGACGTCTGAGAGTATAGAGCTGGGAAACCAAGTATTTGGTTTTTAGTTAGAAAATTTTGCGAACTGTATAGTCTGATAGAGTAAAGAAGTCTGAGAAAGGTTCGCAAAATTTTCTGACTAAAAACGAAGGACTTGGTTTTCCAGTGTACAGGTTTTCCAGAAACCCTGTTATCAAATTTTCTCCTCCTCCTTACACTTGATTGAGCAAGGTTTTTGAAAAGCTCTATTTTGCATTTATAATTTAAATAATTTTCAGTTAGAATTGAGGGAGCAAGCATTTCATTATTTTTTGCGAATTTTTCAAATAATGACGATTTTTTATCAATAATTTGAGCGGTCCAATAAAACAAATAACGATTAGTCAGACGTGATCCACTGAGACGGATATTTTTAATTTTGAAAACAAATGATTAGACGTTATGATCGGATCTCTAAGATTTCGAAAAAAACTTTGTTTTGTTCCATCACGCAAAAGAAGGTAACAACTTTTGCTATTTTCACTGGATTGCTGAGAAATTAATTTTTGCATCGGGTATTTAGATTCAAACGATTTTCGCTCTACACGACGAGAAAGAGCGTATTTGAAACTACACAAAAATATACTGATGAATGTGTATAATTAGTTATGACCCGAAACGCATCATGAATGCTGCGATTGTAAACGGCTGATTATAAGAGAAAATTACAGTATTTTTTCTCAGTGGTTAAATTAAATTAAACGAGATAAGCG